TCTTCACCTAACTTCCCCCAGTGGCTACATCTTATATAGTTGTAACACAATAGCAAAACCAGGAAACTGACACTGGTACATTTACAGTTAATTAAACTACAAACCTTATTTAGTTTCTATCATTTTTTGTCCTACATTTGCATGTGTATATGTTTGTGTGTTTAGTTGTGTTTAGTTCTATATAATTTTATCCTGGGTATATATTTCTGGAACTATCACAATAATCAAGATACAAAACTGTTTCACATCCACAAAACAACTCCTTCTTGATACTTCCTTGTATTAATACCTCACCGCCAACCCTATCTCTATCTCCCGGCAACCACTATTCTTCTCCTTTTCCATTGTCTTGTAATTTCAAGAATGTTCCATAAGTAAAATCAACTATACTTAAACTCTTGAGCTTTTTTTTTTTCACTAAGCTTCATTTAAGCATTCATCTATGGAAGGACATTAGATGGCTGTTTCGTGTATTTTTCGATTATGAATAAAGCTGTTAGAAACATTCACGTATAGGTTTTTGTGTAAATTGAATTGTAATGAAATGTAATTGAATTAAATTGAAATGTAAAATTTCATTTCCTTGGGATAAATGTCTTAGAGTACAACTGCTAAGTTATAAGAGCCTGCCAGACTATTTTCCGAAGGTACATGACCATTTTTATATTACCATTAGCAATGTATGAGAGATCCAATTTTCCGCATCCACACTAGCATTTGGTATTATCACTTCTCTGTTTCAACCGCTCTAATATGTTTGTAGAGATACATTACTGTGGCTTTGACTTACATTTTCCTTAATGGCTAATGAGTTTGAACGTCCTTTTATGTTTCCAGTAGTCCTTTGAGAAAAAGCACATGGAAGATAAAATTTGGAAATGGTGTATGCCTGAAAATTTTTTGGTTTATGTATCTTCAAAAGTTTGATGGTTGGTCTTGGCTATAAAATTCTAGATTAGGGGGCTTCTGGGTGGCTCAGTGGGTTGAGCCTCTGCTTTTGGCTCAGGTCATGATCTCAAGGTCTGGGATCGAGACCCATGTCTGGCTCCCTGCTAAGCCCCCTCCTCCTGCTTGTGTTCCCTCTCTGTCAAACAAATAAATAAAATCCTTAAATTTTTTTTTAAATTCTAGATTAGAACAACTTTTTCTTCTGAGTATTTAAGGCTTCACACTCTTCTCTGTTCTAGTATTGATGTTGGAAAGTCCAAAGCCATTCTGGTTTCTAGTCCTTTATGTGTGTGACTCAGTTTTTTTCCTCTTTGAATCTTAAAGGATGTTTTTTTATACCAACTGCTCTGAAATTTATTCATATGGGTCTATTTTTATCAATTCTTCTAAGTATTTAAGTATAAATTTTTAAAATTATTTTCTCCCCTCTGTTTTTCTCTGGAACTGCTGTTAAATCTCCTGAATTAACCATTTTATTATTATTATTATTACTACTACTACTACAACTACTACTACTATTATATTTTATCTTCTATTTTCTATCAACTTGCTCCTTTTTTGTACATTCTTGTTAATTTTCTCTACTGAATATGCCAACGCTTCTACTGGCATTTTCTCTTTGGCTATCATCTTCAAGAGATGTGTTTATTCTCTGTTCCCATTTTATAGTGTTCTCATTTCATGGATGCAGTATTTCTTCCTATATTTCTGAGTGTATTAGTGGATTTTTGGTTAAGTTTTCTTCTTTTATATAGTCCCTGATTTTTTCCTTTTATTTCTGTTTCTATATTCCATGTTCCCTCACATTTCTAATAATTTGTGGTTGTTCACGTGACAGAAGGAAAATGTGAGAAAGCTTAATTAGAAGGTTGGAGCCTACAGTGTTTGCCATCAGTGAGCTTTTCTGTTAGATGAACTTACCGTGTCATTGATTCAAGAAACCCTACACTTTAGTATCCTTCATATCTTTCTAATTAAGGGCTTTAATTTATTTTTAGGTTCTGATATAGTCAGTGTTTTTACCTGTGTGATGTTCTGGGCAATGATTTTATTTCCCCTTTAGTCCGTGATTAAAATAATCTCCTTCCCTTGTATCTAATTACCCCTTCTGAAATATATCTGGGAAGGACACTGGGTTTTATCATCATTCATGGAATAATATATTTATAACTTAAAGAGCAAGAGAAATCTAAAGGATCTGCAAGCCCCTACACAGGTGACATCTGGTCACACTAACTGACAGCTACTGTCTAGAATATGAATCTGGATCTTTTAAATGGGAGAGATTTTGCAACAGAGAGAAAGATAAGAAATTTAAAAACAAAACTGAGCTTCAGCTGCAGGAAGAGAAGAGAAAGATAAAGAGCACAGAGGGCCTTTCTTGGAGCTTTCTAACAAGGAAATGAGGGCAGCTGTGACAAGGAGATCCCATTAACTATGAATCCGAGAACATCAACCACTTGGATCATTGTAACTTCCCTGGAGTAGCCAGCAATAAGAGGCTTGAATAAAAGCTTGATTTGGGAACGTTGAGGAATACAGGGATATTATACAATTATTCCATAAACCACTTTAGAGCTAGAACAATCCCCAGAGTCAATTTTGGCAGATCGGAAAATAAAAAAACCTAAAGACATGGGGAGAAGGTAGTGCACAAATTTATCTTACCCATGTATCAGTGGGCCTAGATGCCTTATTAGCAGGAGGGCTATGGAGTTCCACAGCCATTCTGAAATGTAGAAATGAGGTAAAGTAACTTCTGGACCAACTCAGTGTGACATTTCCAAAGTTCCTATAGCTAAGCTTACGAAAATACATCGAACATTTAGCTGACCAAGAACCAACCGAAATAAACTTTAGAAATAATGCAAACATAAAATGAAGCATTTAGCCACTATGACTAAAATAGTAATAATAGTAAAAAATGTTGATTGTTATTATTTTTGTAAATACTATTTATTTAGTATCCACTACATACCAAATACCTTATTATTCACTCACAATAGCCCTATAAGGTAACTACTATTCTCAGTTTTAGATAAAAGATGTAATATTTTAATAAATAAGTAAGTAATATGAATATGTAAATTAATGTATCACTTAGCCGAGACTTCATACCTAGTAAATAAAAGGGTTTGGAATTCTAAGCTCTTATGCTCCAAGAATTGAGTCTTTCAGAACTGCCTCTCCAGAATTAGCTTGCATGAATTAAAGCATAATTAAAACTTCAGGTAATCTTTCTACCATTTGTCTGATGGCTATTAAAACATTGTTCTAGTCATCATGCTTAGGGAAAAAGAGAAAGAGAAAGAGAAAGAGGAACTGGAGAAGGTTCAGAGGAAAGTTAAAACATGAGTAAATAAGGATGACATGGTATCATAAAGTATATTGGAATAGAGTTTGCTTAACTCAGAGAACACTAACCCAATATCAAAGGATTTTCACAAGGGAAGATCACCATTAAGATTCCATGTTCATGTGAATGGATAAGGAAGATGTGGTCCATATACACTATGGAGTATTCTGCCTCCATCAGAAAGCATGAATACCCAACTTTTGTAGCAACATGGATGGGACTGGAAGAGATTATGCTGAGTGAAATAAGTCAAGCAGAGAGAGCCAATTATCATATGGTTTCACTTATTTGTGGAGCATAACAAATAACATGGAGGACATGGGGAGATGGGGAGGAGAAGGGAGTTGGGGGAAATTGGAGGGGGAGGTGAACCATGAGAGACTTATGGACTCTGAAAAACAACCTGAGGGTTTTGAAGGGGCAGGGGGGTGGGAGGTTGGGGGAGCCAGGTGGTGGGTATTAAGGAGGGCACGTATTGCATGGAGCACTGGGTGTGGTGCAAAAACAATGAATACTGTTATGCTGAAAAGAAATTTTAAAAAATAGTAATACTTAAAATCTTACTTAAGTGATGATACATATTTTTGTAATGTTACGTCTTGTACATTTTGTAATGTTATTAATTAATGTTATTAAATTCAAGCTATTTACCTAGATGACAAAAAAAAAAAGATTCCATGTTCATGAAAAACTGAATACTAGAAGGTAAATTTGGAGGAAAAACTGTAAGAGGGTTGGTCCTTTAATATTTCTAACTGGCAAGTGGCTAGAGGCTGTCACATCACAATTTTTAATTTAGGAAGATCTGATCTATTAGGAAACACCAGAGAATGACAAGGTAGTGTGTATAAGTGAATACAAATTCTTCTCCTCCCTTCATCCATGTCCTTGCAATATGACAGTACAAATCTTCCAGCGAATGAATGGAGTCTGTTTCCTTACCTTCGAATATGGGTTGTCTCTGCAATTTGCTTAGGTTAGCATACATGATTCAGCAGAAGTTTAAAAAACATGTGTGAGTTAGAGAAGAACCAAGAGCCTACCAACTGCCAGATATGTGACTGAGGCCATGCTAAATCACCTAGCTTTGGCCACTCCACCAAATGACCACAGATTCAGAGAAAACCTGGCACACAAGAGCTGAGCTCCACCAGACCGGTAGAACCACCCACATGACCCACAGAATTCTGAGCAAAATCAAAGGCTGGTTGTTTGAAGCCAATAAATTTTGGGGTGGTTTGTTCACAGCCAAAGCTAATAAAATCATGTGGCAAAAACAAAAGTTATAGGCTAAAGAGATACTATGTCTACCTCAAGAAGTAAATTCTTAATTCTGAGGGCCTGAGAGGATTTGTCCCTTACCTCCTAAAGACAGAGAACTAGAATAAGTATTCACAATACTTATTTGGGAACTAAAATGTCTTCACAGATCATCTAGCCCAGTCTGATCAATGTGCATATATGGAATCTGAAACCAAGAAAGAGGATGTGAATTGTCCAAGGTCCCAGTGAGTTCCTGACTGAACTAGGACTACTGGGCAGGTCCTCTGGCCTCCAGTCTTGGGTATTTTACTCATTAACCTTGAGATCTCAACCAATCGTGAGATTCCATGACTCTGTGACTCTATGGTTCTATAATTCCAAGACAAAGCACAACAATGCCAGTGCTCCAGGCAGCCTTGGTACAGAAGAAGAACATGGTCTAGACTTAAGTACCATCAAGAACATTTTTTCATTTCAAAATATCAACTGCACCATCATGGATTCAAACTCTGCACACAATCCTGTGTTTCTGGTATTTCCTCCAGAGATTAATGTTCCTGACTTGCGATCAACAGAACTTACAGCCACAACCTATGATATGAGCGGCCCTTTTCCAAAATCACTTGCTACAAAAATGAAAATCTTAGGGGTAAGTCAGATTTGCCCCAATGTATACTCTACTGAGGGTGTGTTATGGACTATTTGTGTTCCTCACAATTCATAGTTGAAACCATAATTCCAAAGTAATGGTGTTTGGATGTGGGGCTTTTGGGGGATACTTGTTCATGATGATAAAGTCCTCATGAATGGGATTAGTGCCATTATAAGAAGAGGTCATAGAGGTAGCTAGCTCTCCTTCCACTATGTGAAGTTACAAAAGAGAAGTTGGCAGTCTACAACCCAGAAGAGGTCTACACCAGAACCCAACCATGCTGGCACCCTGATCTCAAACTTTCAGTCTCCAGAATCATGAGAAATAGATTCCTGTTTTTATAAGCCACTCAGTCTATGAACCATGGGCTTAATCAGCCACCCCCAACAGGGTGTTATAGATATAACCTTGCAAAAGAAGTTGAAGTGGGGATGGGGAAGAAGAAGAGGGAAAGAAATGTTTGGTGGCACAATGTTTCAAGGTAAGAGCTAATTCCAACTTTTATGTCCATCCAATTCAGGAAGTATATCTCACATTTCTAATCCAATTATGTACAAGGTTCTATGGAGATGAATATATAAAATGAATAAGCTGCAATTAAACTAAAAATCTCCAAACTGACGACCTAGGAGTTTTTTCCTAGTTAAGTTCAGAGAAAATCAAGTAGAAGTCAATAGATCAGACTTTATATCCTGGGTTACTGAGTTCTACAGTTTTACATTTTCCCAATCAAGACTCAGAATTCAGTTTCACAATATGATATATTTTTATATGCGGGGCTTTTGCAGAAAATCCCCTTAATACTGTAAATGTAAATGCTCATCTCTCGACACACTTTTCCATTTCATGACTGTTAATTATTTTTTATTTACCAATCCTCCTTTCAGAAAATGCCATTCAGATGTTTAAGTCTGTGATAGTGTCTATATCTTACAAAATATTTGTCATTTCAATCCCAAGCCTTCAAGAGTGGAAAATAGAAAGAAACTGATTTTTTTTTCCCCAGGGGGGAAAAAAGTAGAGAAAGATGGCCCATTGACATGCAGAAAAGGGCCATCAGCCTAAAATGCTATTCAAATATAATGGTACTGAAACTCCCGCTAAAGAGTTCAAATTACTTTAATAAAAATGGATTGAACCATGTCCAAAAAATTATGTTAGACACTACAGGGGTTATATAAATAAATACAACCTAGTTTCTCTCATTGAGGAGAATAAATGCATACTTTAGAAAGAATAAAGTAACAATATTAAATACCACATTTCACAGTAGCATCTAATAAGAGCCATAAACGGTTGGGGGTGAGGGACAGGGGAACCCAGAAAGGGAACAGTCACTCCTATCTAAAAGCAATGGGGCAACGTTACTGCAAATTTGGCATTTAATCTGAACACTAAAGAAGTGATGTAATTTTAATAAGTAGAAATGAAAAAGAAGGAGGAAAACAGTATTCTAGACAGAGAAAGCATCTTGAGCAAAGAGCTCAAGGTAGCATAGTTTGGGAATAACAAAAGAGAGCTGGGAGTGAGCAAATTAGACTTGAAAGCTTTAAGAGGATTAAAAGACAAACAAAAAAAGAAACAAGAAAAATCAGGATGGATAAATACACTGCAGTACATCCGTACAAGGGAATGTTATTCAGTGCCCGTAATAAATAAGCCAACAAGCCATGAAGAGACATGGAGGAACCTAAAATACACATTTCTTTTTTTTTTTTAATTTCTTTTCAGCATAACAGTATTCATTGTTTTTGCACCACACCCAGTGCTCCATGCAATACGTGCCCTCCATAATACCTACCACCTGTCTCCCCCAACCTCCCACCCCCCGCCCCTTCAAAACCCTCAGGTTGTTTTTCAGTGTCCATCCTCAATCATGGTTCAGCTCCCCTTCCAATTTCCCCCAACTCCCTTCTCTTCTCCATCTCCCCATGTCCTCCATGTTATTTGTTATGCTCCACAAATAAGTGAAACCATATGGTAATTGGCTCTCTCTGCTTGACTTATTTCACTCAGCATAATCTCTTCCAGTCCCATCCATGTTGCTACAAAAGTTGGATATTCATCCTTTCTGATGGAGGCAGAATACTGTATAGTGTATATGGACCACATCTTCCTTATCCATTCGTCCATTGAAGGGCATCTTGGTTCTTTCCACAGTTTGGTGACCATGGCCATTGTTGCTATAAACATTGGGGTACAGATGGCCCTTCTTTTTACTACATCTGTATCTTTGGGGTAAATACCCAGTAGTGCAATGGCAGGGTCATAGGGAAGCTCTATTTTTAATTTCTTGAGGACTCTCCACACTGTTCTCCAAAGTGGCTGCACCAACTTGCATTCCCACCAACAGTGTAAGAGGGTTCCCCTTTCTCCACATCCTCTCCAACACACGTTGTTTCCTGTCTTGCTAATTTTGGCCATTCTAACTGGTGTAAGGTGGTATCTCAATGTGGTTTTAATTTGAATCTCCCTGATGGCTAGTGATGATGAACATTTTTTCATGTGTCTGATAGCCATTTGTATGTCTTCATTGGAGAAGTGTCTGTTCATTTCTTCAGCCCATTTTTTGATATGATTATCAGTTTTGTGTGTGTTGAGTTTGAGAAGTTCTTTATAGATCCTGGATATCAACCTTTTGTGTGTACTATCATTTGCAAATATCTTCTCCCATTCCGTGGGTTGCCTCTTTGTTTTGTTGACTGTTTCCTTTGCTGTGTAGAAGCTTTTGATCTTGATGAAGTCCCAAAAGTTCATTTTCGCTTTTGTTTCCTTTGCCTTTGGAGACATATCTTGAAAGAAGTTGCTGTGGCTGATATCAAAGAGGTTACTCCCTATGTTCTCCTCCAGGATTCTGATGGATTCCTGTCTCATGTTGAGGTCTTTTATCCATTTCGAGTTTATCTTTGTGTACGGTGTAAGAGAATGTTTGAGAATGTTCTACATATAGCTGTCCAATTTTCCCAGCACCATTTATTGAAGAGACTTTTTTCCACGGTATATTTTTTCCTGCTTTGTCGAAGATTATTTGCCCATAGAGTTGAGGGTCCATATCTGGACTCTCTAATCTGTTCCACTGGTCTATGTGTCTGCTTTTATGCCAGTACCATGCTGTCTTAGTGAGCATAGCTTTGTAGTACAGCTTGGAAACAGCAATTCAGTAACATGGCAGGATACAAAGTCAATGTACAGAAATCAGTGGCTTTCTTATACACTAACAAGAAAAATACAGAAAGGGAAATTAGAGAATTGATTCCATTTACTATAGCACCAAGAACCATAAGAAACCTGGGAATAAACCTAACCAAAGAGGTAAAGGATCTGTACTCGAGGAACTACAGAACACTCATGAAAGAAATCGAAGAAGACACAAAAAGATGGAAGACCATTCCATGCTCTTGGATTGGAAGAATAAACATTGTTAAAATGTCTATACTGCCTAGAGCAATCTATACTTTTAATGTCATTCCGATCAAAATTCCACCAGTATTTTTCAAAGAGCTGGAGCAAATAATCCTAAAATTTGTATGGAATCAGAGGAGACCCCGAATTGCTAAAGAAATGTTGAGAAACAAAAATACAACTGGCAGCATCACATTACCTGATTTCAAGCTTTACTAAAATACACATTTCTAATGAAAGAAGCCAGGCTGTAAAGACAACAAACTATATGACTTCAACTATATTTCAACCATGTGACATTCTGGAAAGGCCAAAATATGAAGACAAAAAGATCAGTGAGCCTGCTTCTCCCTCTGCAGCCCCCCTGCTTGTGCTCTCTCTCTGTCAAATAAATAAATAAAATCTTAAAAAAAATAAATTAAAATAAAGCCTATTAATTTAAGTAAAATGGTACGTATGTACGGTAAATTTTGTTATGGATATTTTACCAACATTTGTTTTAAATGTGAAAAATAATATTTTGGGTAGAAAAGGAAACAACCAAGAAGGTAATCTGGAGACCTCACTGCCAAGAATCTTATATCCATCCTTACTTAAACTTTATAATATTGACAAGTAGCTTCCAATCTGTAAAATCAACAATGCACCTAAGGAGCTTTATAAAATGTGTATACCAAGTCTCCAGGCCTTGTTCCAGAGCTACTGAATAGGAGTTTTGAGGAAGTTGGCGGGGGGGGGGGGGGGGTTAAATCTATATTTTGTAAACGCTTCTCTGAATTTGATAAGCACCAGATTCGGGAGCACAGTTTCAAACAAATTGAGAGGAGTAACCAGATTGGTTCTGTTTTGCGATCTTACTTCAGCACTGACATAACATTGGAATAGAGAGAAAGGAAGCTGGTGCAGAAAAGCCAGTTAGAAAACAATTTTAATAGTTTAAATTAATGGATAGTCACTATTGAGTTGAACTTACTCAAAGGGACTTGGACTTGAATAAAAGGATATCCTTCAAAATTCACCTACTTAAAAGTCATCGTTGCTATGGGAGTAAATGAGAGGACTCAGAGAAGGCAGGTGGAGAGTAAGAGGGCAGAGAACAAACACTCACACATGGCATACCTTCCATTCTCTATGTCATTCTCACCAGTATTCCCTAGCAATTGTCAAACCACTGCTCTACTTTTTTTTTCATTATTTGTTTTATTTTTAATTTTTTGAGGAATCTCCATACTCTTTTCCATAATGAAACATCTCCACCAACAATGCACCACATTCTCACCAGCATTTGCTATCTTGTCTTTTTGATGATAGCCATTTTAACAGAAGTGAGGTCCTATCGTTTTGTGATTTTGCTTTGCATTTCCCTGCTGCTTGGAGAGTTTGACATGGTCTAACCTGGGGATTCTATTCAGTAAGCAGAGGATATAGGTTACAGAGGCTGAGAGTCTGTATCTCTAATTCTCAGGTGATCCTAATGTTGCCAATCCATGGGCTACATTTTCCAGAGCACTAATTTAGATCATTTTACCTGTTACCAAATATCAGATAAAGGAATCAAGAAAACACTTGGGAGCATCATGAAGGGGCTTCTACTATCCTTCCCCTATTTATAAAAGAAGGTAATCACCAAATCCTTTTAACCCAAAGAAGATTCTGTATATTTTTGAAAAGGAAACCTACCACTTTGCTTTTTCCTTACCATGACTTATCCCTCTATTTATAGGCTATGCAGATCCTGTTTGGAGTGATGAACTTTTCTTTTGGAGTTGTTTTCCTTTTCACCCTTGAAAATCCGTACCCAAGGTTCCCTTTTATATTTGTTTCAGGATATCCATTCTGGAGCTCTGTTTTGGTGAGTATAGTCAACTGAGTTCAATTTAAAGCCATGACAACAGGGATACTAGGGAATTCTTAAATACCAAATGAGCTGCATTCAGTTTTAGGATATGTTTTGAAAAGATAAAATAAAAATCAACTTTGTTGAAATTACTTCCCCATTAATTCATCAGAGTTACTGATGTTCCATCATTGGGTTCTGAGGTGCCTTTGGGGATATGCCCTTGGGTCTTGATATCATTTGTCCATTCATTCATTCAAAAATGAGTTGCTATCTATTATAAGTCAGATACATAGAGGAAGGCAATGAGGATCCAAAGGTTAATAATACGTGGACCCTCACTATGAAAGACAATATGAAGTTTCCTCAAAAAATTAAAATGACCATATGATCCAGCAATTCCCCTTTCGGAATATATCCAAAGGCAATGAAAACCCTATGTCAAAGATGTATCTGCACGTCCATGCCCATAGCAGCATTAGTCACAAAAGTCAAGACATGTAAACAAACTGATAACATGATAAAGAAGTGTGTGTATACATATGTATATGTATACATACACATATACATATGTGCATACATATATGTATACATGCATACATACATACATATGTGTGTATATATAAAGAGTTAAATTCTATATATAGAATTTATTAAACACTCTTTTATATATATATATATATATATGTACATGCATGTGTGTGTATATATATATATAATACACAGCCATAAAAAAAAAAAGAAACAATGAAATCCTGCCACTTGCAACAACATGGTTAGACCTTAAGGGCATTATGCTAAGTGAAATAAGTCAGACAGGGAAAGACAAATACTGCATGATCTCACTGATATTTAGAATTCTAAAAAATTCAAAGAAAAAGAGCTCAGATTTAAGGTTATACCATGGGCAGAGAGTGAGGAGAGAGGGAATGGAAGGTGGTGATCAAAAGGAACAAGCTTCTAGTAATAAGATAAATAAGTACTAGGGATACAATGTACAATAGGATGACTTCAGATAACACTGCTGTATGATATATATGAACATTTTTTAAGAGAGTCAATTTTAAAAGAGTCTCATCACAAAGAAAAATATTCTTTTTCTTCTCTTTTTCTTTCTTTCCCTTTCTTTTAGGAGGGGTGGGTTGTAGCTATATGAAATAATTGATGTGAAGTAAACATGTTATAATCATTTCACAATATATGTAGATCATATTATTATGCATCTGCCCTAAGCTTATACAGTATTGTATGTCAATTACATCTCAGTAAAACTGGTGAAAAAATAAACAAAAATAATAATATATGAGCCCTTCCTTCAGAGGGCTCTAGGTTCAGCAAGAAAACGTGTAAACAGGACATTTCAAGGTAATGTGATAAATGACATCACACAGGTGTAGAAAGTGCTCTTGTAAGGAGAGATGAAAGATCTGTTTACTCTTTGGAGAAGTAAAGAAACAGGGAGGGCTTCTCAGATATACCTTTGAGCTACACAGAAGCATTTATTTAATTTCATTCAATAAACATTATTTAAGCACCTGGTTTAGTGCCAGAGAATGGACTGTGTGTGGGAATTCGGGGAAAAGGCAGTTCTTAGTCTCAAGGTCTCTCAATTAGAGAGTCAGATCATCACCACAGGGTGTGATCAGAGCGGTGACAGACACAGGAATTGCCAATGTAGGAAAGGCACCTACAAAAAGGATGGGGAGATGCCCAGAGACACTCCAGCTTGGCTGAGTTTTAAAGGATGGGTGGTTAATCAGGAGGAGGGCACACACAGAGGAAGGGTGGTGGGGAATGGTAGAGAGCGGGAAATGGCTGGGCATAAGGGCTAGGGATATCTTGCTGCATGCCAAGGGAGAACCATGAACAAAGGTCTCAAGATATGGAAGAACACTTTCTATCCTGAAGACTGTAAGAGTGAGGTTGAAGAAATACCAGGCATTGGGACTGGAAATTTAAAAATGCATGTGCTGTAGTCCAATTTGGAATTTCTACCAGATAATGATGCTACTACATGAGACTCACCTCCATGAAAATTCTTGGGATTTTTTTTTTTTCTAGAATGCCCAGCATATTAGCTGGCAGGACACACTGGATTGCAAATGGGTATGAAGGATGTTTCTTATAAGAATGACAGAATCTGGGGCACCTGGATGGCTCAGTGGGTTAAGCCTCTGCCTTCAGCTCAGATCATGATCTCAGGGTCCTGGGATCGAGCCCCGCATCGGGCTCTCTGCTCAGCAGTGAGCCTGCTTCCTCCTCTCTCTGCCTGCCTCTCTGCCTACTTGTGATCTCTCTCTCTCTCTCCATCAAATAAATAAATAAAATTAAAAAAAAAAAAGAATGACAGAATCTGATTTTATTGGTTGTGAATTGATTTGACACCAGTGTGGAATGATATCAAAGCTCAGTCCACAACAGCTATAAAAGGAAGGTAGATGAGAAAACAAGCCCAATAAAGCTAAAAAAAAAAAAAAGAAAGAAAGAAAGAAAGAAAAAGAAAAAGAAAAAAAGAAAAATCTCACGTTCAAACAGATCTTTAAGGCTAAAGCTAATTTCTAGTTCAATGTTTTGTCCACTACTCATTTGTGGACAATTTTACCAGGCATGTCACCCTGCTCACTGCTCTGAGGATCATGTGAACTAGGAAGGAAGATATGTTAATGAAACACATAGAAGTTTATTCTCTGATAACACTTCAACAGCACTTAAACAAGCCCATTACTAAAATGTTTATTCTTTTTAATAGTTCATTAATTCTGGAGCCTTCCTAGTCGCATTGGAAAGAAAAACCACAAAAACTCTGGTGAGTTACATTTTCCCCTTCACTAAAAATTTATAACTTTGAAGTAATTAATTCTAGCATTGAAAATGAATTTGGAAAATCATTAACTCACTATAATTCCACAAACTGTCAAGTACTGATACCAATCAACAGCATTGGTCTTTTGTCCATAGGATCATAAAACACCAGTTCCAGAAGAGCTTTCTAGGTCATCCAGTTTCTTATTTTATATATAAAAACACTGAGGCACAGAATAAAAGCCAAGTTCCTAAACCAAATGGTAAAATGGGTCTCAGTATTCCAGTAACTCATTCATTCATTCTTTCTGTGTTGTCAAGCGCTTTGAAAAGCACTAGTTTGACTTGCATGATGGGCACACTGTGAAGACAACCTCATTAAAAATAATTTAATTAATGAAATAAGCCTTATAAGCAGAAGTTCAAAATAAATAATACAGTGTTAATGAATGCAGAAGGTACACTTACAGGTAAATTATAAGTAGAATATTTTTACTTTTCTCAAGGAATCAAAAATGTGAGATATTAACAAGCCAATAAATTATTTCCAACACAGGAGTTCTCCTGCAGTTTTGAAATTTAAGGAAGAAATAAAAATTGCAAAGAAATATGATGTTTAGTTAAACAAAGTCATAAAACAAAAATGTAAATAGGTCATGACTTTTATCAGAGCATCAAAGTGCAGTGCAATGTGGCTATGCCTAAGTGTGCACCCCTCCCCGCAACTAAATGGGAGTTAACTTAGGTACAGATTGTGGGGGATGGAAGGGTTATTGAAGGTTCACTGGATTCCCTCATTCTCTGGCTGACAGCCCGAAGCCAGAAAGGGTGAAGTGTCTCATATATGATCACACAGCTGCTTTGTGGCATTGCAATGCTGTGCCTAAAATCCTCCCTCCAACCTCCCCCACCATTGCTTCTAGTCTGTAGACTCAGTGTTATGGTCTTCATCTCTTTCAGGTGAAGCTGAGCCGACTAATGAATTTTCTCAGTGCCCTGGGAGCATTAGCTGGAGTCATTCTCCTCACATTTGGTCTCATTCTAGATCAACACTTCTTTTGTGGCTATGCTGAAACAGTTACTCAGTGTCAGGCTGTTGCTACCCTATTCGTTGTGAGTATGCTGCAATTTTATGGCGATGAGTAATGGGTATAATCATAAAGATTTATTAGCATCTAATCAGCAAAATCCAAATACTGTTACTGACACACGTGTTTTCTTTTTATTTACAAACATTTATAGAAATCATAATATCTGATAGGTTATATCAGGCATTGTGGAATAGAAAAATAAACACATTACAACTCCCAACTTCAGGAGTTCACAGATGAGTAGAGAAGATAAAACATGTACAACAATGAGTATAATATAAAAGGTAGAGTGATACAGGAAGAAAAATGCAGGTATTGCAGTATGGTAGCAATTCATAGTCCCAGATATACGTTAGAGTCGTAAGTGGAATGTTTTTATGGTTTTGGTTTTGGCTTGAATATTTAGACTGGGCTTCTGATAAAACATGGCATATACTGAAAACAAGCATTTATTTCTGTTCTTTCCATAAGACCACTATGATTAGTTTAAGGGAATGTAAAAGATGTAAATCTACATGGAGAGAAAAATTAGTCATCAAGACCCATCAAAATTTGTCAGGAAAGCTGGAATGTTATTAATCACCTAAGGAAAAGGGAGTATTCAAAGAAGTAAAATATCCCAGTTGCAAGAGCAGATATCCCTTCCTCATCTTTTTCCTGTACTTAGAAGGAAAACATCTTGTCTTTCACCATAGACTATGATGGCGGCTGAGGGTTTTTTAGATGGATTTGATCAGGCTGAAGAAGTTTTTTCTCTTCCTAGCTTGTTGAACATATTTTCCAAGTGTGTTGAATTTAGTGAAATTCTTTTTCTGTATCAACTGAGATGATCATGTCATTTTTGTTCCTTATTCTATTGTTATGGTGCAATTGCACTGACTGACTTTTTTATCTTAACTAAACCTTACATTCCTGGGATAAATCCCACTCAGTCATGCTGTATAATTCTTTTAATATGTTGTTGGATTCAATTTTCTGGTACTTTGTTAAAGATTTTTGCATCTTTATAAGGGATATTGGTCTATACTCATCTTTTCTTGTGATATCTTTGTTTTTTGTGTGTGTCTGGTTAATATTGGCATTATAGTAGGAGCTGGAAATTATTGCTTCCTTTTATACTTTTTGGTGAAGTTTGAGAAAAATTATGTTGAATTTTCCATAAACATCTAGAAGTCTTCACTGGTAAAGTCTCCTAGGTCTAGGCTTTTCTTTCTGGGAAGTTTTTTTTTTTTTTTTTTTTTAATTACCTGTTATTAGTTTATTTAGTTTTCCTATTTCTTCTTGTATCAGTTTCAGGAGTTTTTGTCTCTTATTGTCAGCATGAGTGAATGAAGGAAAATGATAATACAGATTTTCAAGAAGGCTGTCCTGGTAGTGATGTGTTAGTAGAATTGTCTACCAATAATCCAGAACCTTGAATTAGCATAGAGGAGAAAAAATAGCTAGGAGTATAAGCCCATCATCATCAATGGCATTGGTCATTTTGAAGGAGTGTAGTTTCGTTCCAGTCACCTTGAGTGGAAGTGGTCTAGTTCCTAATTCTGAGAAGTTTGGGCCACATATATATTAGATAGTCCTATCTTTTGGATCATTTACTTTTGTGAAGTTTCTAGAGGACAACAGCTTAATGTCTGTAATAAGTGAGGTAATGGTGATGGTGGTGCTGATTTTAGTAAGATCTTCTCCAGCAAGGCTCAAGTGTATTCTTTCCCTGATGATATCTTCAAAATAACTAATCACCTACCTAAGGTCACAAAGAATGATTAAGTAGACTGCTGGCAAGGAAAAGTAGTCCACATCTGTTAGTGGAAAAAACTGCCAAATTTATTATATAATCAGAGTTATCAGAACAAAAGTCAAATCATTTGCTGAGATATAATACAGAATTTTGGAGAATTTAGTCAGTGATTACCAGGAAGTAAGAAAGTAATAGGGACAGTGAAGGCCTTGGAAAACCCACCCCTGCCTGCTGACACAAGAAATCAGCAGCCTCCGACAGGCAGAATATGTGAAGAGGAGTCTCTCCTACAGCCAATTTCCTACATATAGACAAGACTGGAGAAGTTTCTTAAAATATTTTAATAAGTAATCCAAGATAATTGGTCCTAGAAAGGATATTGGTCAAAGAGACACTTATTAGTCCTGGTGGCTGGCTAACAAGACATAACTCCTTTCCTAGGATTTATTTTTATAGATACACAAAAATATAGAGAAATTGCAGATAGACAGGATGGTTAGTGGCAAAGCTTTGGCAGACCATCTTTTTCTTCACCCCTACCCTACCAAGGGGAAAGGAAACAAGAATAGATATGAAGGGATAATGAAAAAATCCTGGGAAACCTGATTCCTAGGACAAATAAAATGACCCTATCTAATAAAAAGTGCTGGACTTGCCTCATCAATATAGATGTGCAAACCCTGGACAGGGTTGCTCATAGGCAGTCAATGGAATATGCACTAAATGAGTCAACGGACCAGAACAATAATCATGAGGAGTCTGACTAGACCTCTCTGGGGCCTCTGTGACTGTTTAGCACCTTCAAAGACCACCAGGAATGGTGGTCCTTTGGTGGGCCACCATTGCAGTTAAAAGCTGAATTTATTAAATTTGCAATCAAGGGAGAGCATAGGGAGGAAGACACAATAGGGGGAAATGGAAAAGGGCATTTGTAAGATTTCTTCAGTTGGAGGAGTCATAAGGTAACTTTGGGGGAGAGTAACAGTAGTCTGGAAGGGAATTGGTTAGATTTGTGAACTAGATGAGTTGCAGAGTCAATGGTCTAATTTTTTGAAAACATGAATTCACATGGAATTAGCATAAAAACATCTCTCCGTGGCCTTATTTTGAACATAAAGCTCTGAGACATTTTATGTTAAAACCTTGAACTTAGATATTTGGTTTTGCATATCATGCTTTGGTACACTTTATCAATTTGCTGACTCAAAGTGCAGTTATTTTTCAAATCATGGTTTCTTTTCATCATCAATTCTCAGTAATCTTAACTAAAACTGAAAAAACAAACAAACAAAAAAAAACCATGAAAATCACCAAAGGAAAAAGTAGAAGCAACTGGACTGATACCTAACTTCTCAAAAGCAACAATAAAAGCCAGAAGACTGAACAATATCTTCAGTGTTCTGAATAAAATAACTGACAACCAATAACCTCTATTATTCACTACCCATTATTGTGATGTGTGTATATATATATACACGTACACACAAACACACAATGGAATATTACTCAACCACAAAAAGAATGAAATCTTGTCATTCGCAATGATGTGGGTGAAGCTAGAGTGTACTACGCTAAGCAAAATAAGTCAGAGAAAGACAAATACCATATGATTTCATTCACATGTGGAACTTAAGACACAAAACAGATGAACAAAGGAGGTAAAATAAAGAGAGAGTCAAACCAGGAAACAGACTTCTAACTATAGAGAAAAAACTGAAGGTTGCAGGAGGGAAGAGGTTTGGGGGATGGGCTAAGTGGGGATGGGGATTAAGGAGGGCACTTGTGATGAGCACTGGATGTTGTGTGTAAATGATGAATCACTGAATTCTACTGCTGAAACCAATATTACACTATATGTTAACTAACTAGAATTTAAATAAAAACTTGAAACAGAAAAAAGAGAAGAAAAAAAATCTTACAAGAATGAAGTGAAATGAAGAATTTTTAGAGATACAAATACTGAGCTTGCCTCCTGCAGACTAGAATTAATGGAATAAAGAATGAATTCCAGGTAGAAAGAAATTGACAGCACAATGAGATGCAAGAAGGAATGAAGAATAAAGAATGAGATAAACGTGTGGACAAATACAAGTGAATACTGCTTGTGTAATGCAGTAACGATAATATATATTGAGATTAAAAATAAAGTATTTAAAATACCAGTCAGCATTAACATATAAGTAGAGAAGGGAGCAAATGGTGTTTTTGTTATTGTCTTTGCTAAGGACCTGAGTTTTCCCTGAGAAGAGGGTGGTTTGAAGGATTTTAGACTTTGATATGTTTTAATACTTAATGGTATCATCAAAAGTAAAAAACTAGAACTAAGAGATATATTTAGTCTATTATACCCAACAACAAAGAATACACATTTTGTAACACGTGCCAACAGAAGATGACTATATATTGGTAAACAAGACAATTCCAGATTAATACCAAAGGCTAAGGTCCTAGTGTATACCCTATGCAATAAAACAATAAACAATGATAAAAATAATTTCAGCCTGTGTGGTTGGATATTAAGAAGTAGGCTTCAAAGTAATTATTGAATCAGGGAAGAAATCACAATACGAAGTGAAAGCTCAAAAACTTGAGGCAGAAGGTAAAGCAATAGTTTTAAGGCAATTCATAGTTCAGAAATGTAGAAACTATAAAATATGAAACTTTGAAAAATAATGGCCCAAATATTAATCTCAGGGACTAAAGGAGAGAAAATTAGCCCAAAGAAAGAAGAACAAAGGAATTAATATATAATGATGAGAACAGAAATTAGGAAATAAATAAATAAATAAATAAATCATGCACACATTAGAAAGACTCAAAATAGCCAATGATTGGTTTACTGAAAATACTAGCAAAGGGCATTTATAGGAATAGTAAAATATACAAATCCTTTTTTTCTGGTTATGACAGAGTAACTTAGAGCAGCTCTCTAGTAAAAATCACTGTTATTAAAAGCTTATTAAAATAACAAAAAATTTCCAACTGTTTGAATACAAACAAAAGAAACCAGGGCAGCCAGGATTTAAAGTGCAAGGATCCTGTAAGAATAGTTCACGTTGAACTAAACCCAAAATTCTCCATCGCTTTCCTCCACAAGTTATTTGCTGACACCTAAGATGTGTAGGATAAAAAGCTCAGACGTTAAGTATATAGGAAGCTAAGAGGCTAAGAGGCCAAGAAGAGATTTTGGCAGCCAAGAAGAGTACTGCAGACACACATATATTGTCCAGAGTCCACCAAGAGGAGGAGTGGAGTCTGGTAAACATCCACAAATTTCACTTCTG